GCCTCCCACTCTTGAATTTTGACTGATTCATTCACCTGGAAAAAAACATCCTGTAAAAACATGTAAATGTAAAATTGTTTACGCGTTCAAAAAATCTTTATTCTTGATATATACACAAAATCTATTTATTTCACGTGGTTCTATCAATGAGGAAGTGTGTTACAATTTGCAGAGCAAATGGTTACACACTAGTAATAATAATAATAACACTCATATACAAATACCACAATTGGGTAATTATAATTATAACAACAATAGCAGTATTCATATTCCAGTACCACAATCACAACAATTGAATAATAATAATAATAATGATCTACAATCTAATATTATAGTACCACTACCAAATAATAATACTTCACCATCAAACAACAATAAATTACCACAGTCAGATGACAACAGCAATAATATTCCTTGTATTCAATCATTACTATCACAACAACCAAACAACAACAATAATTTTATTAAAATTCAACCAGATGATATCATTCCTATTTCGCAATCATTGAAATTAAATAATAATAATAATAATAATAACAATGACTTTATTCAAATACAACCAAACAATGTTTCTACTTCTACTACCAAATTGTCAAAATCACCACTGCCATGTGATGTAACAGAAAAAAACAATACATTTCACATCATTGTAAGCATTCCGGGAATTAAAAAAAAAAATGAATTAGAAATTTTTGTTAATAAAAAAAACCTAGACTGGTAGTATTAAAAGGGACCTATAATAATCAGTTTAATGGAGGAAGATTTTTGTATAAAAATTTACCTGTTGGTGAATTTGAATTAAAAATATTATTACCCTCTGAGTAAGTTTTAAATATAATTGCTTGATTAATGAATAATTCAAAGCTGACAAAGTTTTGTTAACAAATAGGATTGATTGTGATGAACCAGTAAACATGGAGATAGACAGTGGGATTGTCAACATCACATTAAGTAAATCAATCATTGATGAAAATGATACAAAACGACTAAGAATAAAGTGAATTTTTTTTTTTATAAATATTTATATTTTTTTTTTATAAATTTTTCTTTCTTTTTTTGTTCCTCTTTTTTACTTTTTATCATTATTATTTATATGTTCATAATTTTTAAAACCTCAATTGATATAATTATTAATAAAAATGAATGAATTAGTTGAACGATATTCATAATAATAATAAATGGTAATAATAAATTGTTGCATAACAATTATTTCTGATCGTACACCGCCAGATTGATCCATTTTTTTCTTTGAAAAATAAAAAAATAAAAAAAGTAATCAATAATTAATGGTTGATGCAACATTGCATACATATCCTTTAATAATTTATTATTAATAGTATATTTTTATTAAGGAATATCAATTAAAATATTTTGTGTTGAATTTTCAAATAATTTTTATTTTCTAAAAATAAAAAAAATAAAAAATGGCCGCATAACAATTGTACACTGTTAGATCATCAGATCGTTTAACCTTTGAAAAAAGAAATTAATATAATCATACATACCCTTTAATAATAGCAGTAACATCAATGCTTGTAATCATTAATGAAATTTTCTTTTAACTTATATTTATTACATCTCCATCACATCCTACTAATGTCACTAATAAATAAATACCATTTAATATATATAAAAAATATAAATAACAGAAAATAGATGAAAAAATAAAATAGAATAATTACCCCCCAAAAAACCAAAAGAGTTTATTGTGCGAATATTAAATAAATATCACCAAGTTAATAAATTTGTTTGATACAACTCCATATCTCAATTTATGTGAAATGTTTCATTACACTAATTGGTAAAATAAAATTAATAATAATAATAGTATAAAATAATCTTTAAAATAACTAATATTAATAATCAGGATCTGTTATGTGAATTCATATTCATTTAAAAAAGCAAAATTTGAAGCTATGTTAATACTTTTCTATAAACAAATTATGCAATTTAAAAATAAAACTTGGAAATTAGAACTCAACTATTGTGCTTATTGTCATGTAAAAAAATTAAGTCCAAAGATTGAAATTGTGTGCATTTATTCAATTTCTTAATTTATTATTATTATAGAACTTATAAAACAGGTAGACCAACTTCTTGTTAAGATTTTCTTCAAGTCTTATTTGTTTACCCTTGCAAAAAATATGTCAACATAAAGATTTTTCCATATATTTTGATTTTTTATAATTCAAGAGACAATCTTGGTTAAATTGGGTAGGTTTGTGTATGAAAGCATGATTTTTTTCTTCATTTTTTCATATAAAATTTCGTGTTGATCAAAAAATTTTTATTAGTGAGTGACACTTGACCCCCTGTAGATCTGCAATGTCCTGCGACTAATAATTCTAAAAAAAGTTGACAAATTATGTCATTATTAGTTGCGGGACATTGCAGATCAAGTGTCATTCAATATAAACATTACACAAATAAAATTATTATCGTCCACTTCAAAAAAAAAATCTCCGTTTTTCATGTATCAAGCAATTTTCAACCATAATAAATTTTTTAGAGCCAGACTGGGGCTTTTAACAACAGTTAAAAGAAAAGACTAGCTTAAATA